GACTCTCCTTTCGAAAGTTATCGTGTAAACGGCCGGCCGGACGGACGGCCGGACATACTGACCGATTCTAGAGTGTACTCACTTTTTGAGTACACAAAAAGGAAAGTTTCTCAATTTTTAACTTTTTTCTGATTTAGCACTTTTTTCTAAGTTTTTCCTAATTCTGAACTTTTCTATATCGCAGCTTTGTTCATGAAATTAGATACGATTATAAACCGTTACTCTAATAGATCAATATTGCATCATCTTTTTTCTCTATTAATTATTGGTAGTTTCTGAGTTATAAAGTCAACTACTGAACTGAAGTTCAAATGGATTTCTTATTTTAACCTAAAACATTCTGACAATCTTATTGTAGATTATATAAGTAAATAATGGATCATCTGATGAACGAGATATATATGAGTGAGGATGATACTAGAGAAGAAGAAATTTGAAGTAACATCATCAAGAAATACATCAACCCCAGCATCATTTCGACGACTGAGGAAAAAAATAAATTTTTCGTCCAGGATGGTTATCAATTGATGAATACTCATCGTGGTTGCAAGAAATAAAACATGATTTAACAAAAGTCCGATGTAAAACTTGTCCTAAAAGTTTTTTCGTTCATTTGGACGGAAAATCAGCTGTCGAGAAACATATGAATAGTAATGCACACAAAAAATCGATGAAAGAATTCGAACAAAATTGTTTACTGACACAAATTTGTACCTCCTGAACGTGAAATAGATAAAATTGCAGCAACTGAATGTGTGTTCGTTTTTCACGGAGTCAAACACGGTCACAGCTACAGGTCTCAAGAATGTACATTTGATTCATCATTATGGCAAAGTCAATTTCATGTGGTAGAACTAAAGAAATATCAATTACGTGCAATGTTCTTGGTCCTTATTTTACAAGCAAATTATTGATGATTTATTAAAAGCACGATTTTATTCATTATCCGTTGATGGATCAAATAAAGGAAACTGCAAAATGTTTCCATTTTTAGTTCAATACTTTTCTGAAATAGGTGTTAGTCGAGGTATTGATTTTTTGTCATTTGAAATTTATATTTTTTTGTTATATCTAAACAAGTTTCATTTAATTAGTTAGGACTGATTCAGTGTATCAACGATCCAGATGAAGCTACTATTGATATTTTTAAAAATATATGGAAAGTTATTGATAATTATAAATTAAATATTGAAAATTTAACTAGTTTTGGTGCTGATAACGCCAATGCTTTTTATGGTAAACACCATTCGGTGTTTCAATTATTAAAAGATAAAGTACATCATCTCCTAAAAGGTAAATATAAACGTTTATTATGGGATTTTTTAATAATCTTCATTCGACCTGTACATTTTGCATTATTGTATTTTAGGTAATTGTTATTGTCATGTTCTCCATAATGCAGTACAAACTGCACATGACGTTTAACCAATTGATATTGAAACAATTCTATGTAAATTATATTCTTATTTCTTGAGATCAGCAAAACGAGTTGAAAATGTGAAAGAATATTCTGAATTTGTACAAGTTGATTTCAACGTAAGTTGTTTAATCATAAACTGCTTCAAAAACTAGATTAACTGTTTTCAGAACTGTAAATAATTTTCTTTTTTAAGAATCTATTAAAACATATAAGCACAAAGTGGTTGAGTTTACTTCGATCTATTCAACGTTTACTTGACAAATTTGAACCAGTAAAATTGTATTTTTTATGTGAACAAACGTCAACAAATATACAAGGACTTTTGAAATCTTTTTTCGACAATGGTGAAGGCCTTTGCATTTTGCACTTTTTACAAAATGTCCTTTTTGAAATTCACAAAGCTGAATTACAATTACAACGTTCATATACAACAATTGTTGACCTTTATTATATTACTATCAATCTCATCAACAAACTGCGCCAAAAACAATCTGATAAATATTATGGTAATAATAAACGTTTAGTAATAAACCATTTGAAAAAAATTGATCAAAATACAAGTGAAGTATTAATGAAAGCATTTGACTTATTTATTAATACAGCTCAGGCCAACAATTCCGGCCTCCGGATCCTTCAGGAACCGGTCGGAAACGATGTAATTTCCGGCATTTTCCCGCCGGAGAAATACCCGGAATATGGAAGCAGTATTCCGACCGGAAATTTCTCGTACTCGGACACTGAATGTTCCGCTAATTTTCCGCAACCGGAAATCAACGGGAAAAAGCTCGGAATCTAGAGGAACCCGCTGGAAACCGGCAAGGAACGCACAGTTTCCCACGGGAAAAACACGAAAACCGGTTCGAAACCTCTTTGAAAGATCAATGAAAGATCTTTCAAACAGTTTGAACGATACTTTTTCCATGCATCTCAAGTTGATGCCACCTTGCGCACGGCAATTCTTTCCTGGAAGCTGTTTTCAGACGGCTATCTGAGTTTAAGGAAAATTAAATACGTCAGAAATCTGTTCTCGCATACCTTACACTAAAAGGTATGATTGAGTCTGAGACCACCAGGCTCTTCACTACGAAGCTTTGGTATGTACACAGACGTTGGTGAAAGTGAAGAAGAAAATTTGAATCGGTATCCTCCTTAGGAACCAGAATGAAATACCACGCTTTGGTATTTCGTGGGTATGGAAGAGTGCTTGCTGTGGTGCACGGCATCAACTTTGTCTTTACATACTACATGTAGGGATTGTGAAGTCTTTGAAAGATCTCAGAAGTGATAGAAAGATCTTTGAAAGGGTTTTGAGAGATGTTGCAAACTGTCCTAAAGATATTTGAAAGATCTTTTAAAGTCTTCGAAAGATCTTTCAAGGTCTGAGAAACATGTTTGAAAGTCATAGAAAGACCTTTGAGAGATGTTTCAAAGATTTTTCAATGTGTTGAAAAGATCTTTGAAAGTGTTAGAAAGATTTTACAGTCTCATAAAGATGTTTCAAAGATGTTTTAAAATTTTTGAAAAGATTTTGAAAGATCTTTCAATCTTTGACACAGTTTCAGAAAGACGTTTGAAGGTCGTTGAAAGATCTTCCAGAGTCTCAGAAAGTCTTTCAAAGATGTTTGAAAGGTCGGATATGGGCTTTGTCAACGAAACAGAAAGAGGTGGGATATAACCGGATCCTGTGACCGGGACGAAAGCCCGGAACCGTAGTTTGGAACCGTACCGGAAACGTCAGATATACGACTCGGACTCCTTAAAGTGATTAAGAACAGGGAACTTAGTCGAGAACCACACCGAAAACAACAGCTGTATCCGAATATCGCACCTGGAGGTAGGAATGAGCGGGAACTAAGCAGGATCCTGATGTTGGATCCGATTTTGGAACACTGCTTCCAGGAATTGGCCCGAATTTCACGGAATCCGGCCGTTTCCCGCCGTACATCTTTGACCTGGGAGTAATCGATTATATAAAATCTTATTTTGATGATGATAGTGTATTTTATGAAAAATTATCATTTTTTAGTGCTCAATCATTTAACTTTCTTACTTGGAAAAATGTTATAGATGTTGCTGATGTTATTCACATAGATGATTTAGATAAAGATCAATTAAATAGTGAGTTTTGTGATATTAAATGTTTATATGATAGTTTGAGAAAGAAAAATATTAAATTATGTGATCAAATGAAATCCTATGTTTCGAGTAAAACAAATGATTTTTATGCATTAAACATTACTGATCAACATGTTGCATATGATGAATGCGATGATGAAGAAATTATTTCACTATCAGACAAGAAAGATAAAGATTTCATTAGATCTGATGAATTATGGGCATATTTATTAAATATCAATCCAAATGCAACAACAAATTTTAAAAACTTGATCTGTTATATCTTCTCGATTCTATGTTAAAATTCTTTTGTAGAATCTATTTTCAGCAATATGAAACACTCCTGAAGCGATTATCGTAATCGCATGGACATCGAACTGGTCAGTTCTGAACTTAATATAAAAATGAATAGTAATTATTCTTGTGAACGATTTTATAAACATATATTATCTCAAACACACTTGTTGAAGCAAATTCGATAAAATGCAAAATATGAATAATAATATCGAGATGATGCGACATTATCTTTTTTTTTTATTTGATTCCTTATTCTACACATTATATATGTCATTGGTTTTTGTACATTTTTTGTGAAAGAGATTTGAATTCAGTAAAAAATTCGATTCTAAGTGTCTTTCATTAGTTTTTTTGTATTAGCTAAACGAAATATTCATTATATTGTCTTTGTTTATAGTGAAACACATTGAAAATAAAATATAAATCCATGAACAGAAACTCAGTGAAGCATTGGATGCCAGCAACTTAACATAATAGCCACTACTTTGCAAAGAACTGCTCTTTCTGACTAATTTCTGATTTTGAAAAAGAAATTTCTGGTTAAATTTTTGATCTGGTCACCCTGATCACATTAGTTGACGAAGTTCTCATTGAAATGTGTCATTGTTGAGATATTTGTTCACTTATTTCAAATAAATCTTTATAAATAAGATTGTTGGTTTTTGTTCGATGCTTTTTAATAATCTTTTGTTTTTTACATAACAGATATATCGAATTATCTGTTCCGTCATTAGACATTACTGATTCACTTACAAAAGGATTTTCATTGTCGAATGTAATCATCTTTTATCAAGAAAATAAGTCACATTTTGGGGGGAAAAGAATTTTCATTGGTTTCTTTTATTTGAATGTTCTTCAGTGCCAATTATGCGAACAACAACAACATCGATCGTTGTTTAAGTGACAAGTAAGACAAGGTACTTTTCATAGAATAATCTCAAAAGAAAATCCTGTTTTTGTTGTTTGTTTTAGACTCAACAATGGTTATAGAATCGTTGACTGGTGTTCAGACATCATTAAGTAAGAAAAAACTTACTGAAAAAAAAAATGCGAGTAGACATCGATGTTTCTCTACCGATTAATCTATTGTGGATTAGAGCTGATTAACTGACAGTTTGGAAATAAAAATATAAACGAATGATGAAACTATCAGAGATAAATATCTTTGTTTAATAATCAGACAAAAATCTTAGTCTAACACGTTCAATGTTGTTTACTCTCTATTTGACATGATTTTGAAATATTCGTTGGAATGTTCGTTAAAGAGATAGACAAATATTGTATAAAGATTAAATTTTTCATTTGTTTTATTTCATATGAGATTTGAAAAGAATAAGTTTACAATAAAATCTTGTTTATAATTTTCAAAAAATTGATTAGTTTAGAAAAAAAATCTCTATTCTAATGATATTTGTTATGTTAGATGATTTCTAAGAGAGAAATTTTTATCTTCTAACGTTCAATTGAGTTTAATCAGAAGTTTTCTCCGATGTTACTTGAATGAGCCAAAGATAATTAAAAAATGTGAGACGTTAAATCAATCTTCTCGAGATTTGTTCACACATATCATCAAATTAGTAATGAAATCATTTTCGAGAAATATCGTTTTCTTTTTCACTATGAAAATCTTTCGAAACTTATTCGAAAAAAATCCCTCACGATTTAAATGAAAACTTTTAATGTGTGACAAATGTTTGAGAGAAAGAAATTGTTCGATGTTATATGTCGACATTCACCGAACTCAAAATGAACTTTAGACTCGAATTTGAACTCAATCTTCGAAAGTTTCATTTAAAAATTCAATATTATCTTAGCATTTCATGCATCTCGATTTTTCTAATCAATGAACAAAATCCAAATATTGAAACTAGACGAAATTTTCTTCTATTTTTCTAAAAGATAACTAATTGAAAATGTCAATTCGAAAGAGATTTATGAAAAAAGTCCAACCTATGAAATATTCTTCGAAAAAGTGTACGTCTTTTTTCTTCAAGAAAATAATTTCTAAAACTTTATTTGTTAAAGATCGTATTTTTCTTTGTTTTGTCCTTGAGTGAGTTCAACAGTTGTCGTATCATCATCAACAACATTTACAATGTAACCAACTCTCTCAAATTACTGATAATTTTAAGTTCATTATTGGTCAGTTGATCATTAACATCTTTAACAAGATCAACTGTCATTCGATCAATATAAGTTTCCTTGAGATTATCAATAATGTTCAAGTTGATCATCAACAGTTTCAGGCACATCAGTCAGCATACTATCGTCAACAAGTTTGAGCTCATTAGTCGTCACAGGACCATCAACAAGTTCAATTGTATCAATGACTGACTATTCAATAAATAATAGTTTTAATTCTAACAATAGATAAAACTTAAACTGATAAGATCGATTCATCATCAAGAGTATCTTCGGATATAACGTCGAAATGACAATTAAATCGCTTTATTGTTTTACTTATGTTTTCTCTGGTGATTATTTTTAATGAAGAAGTTATTGATCATTTTCTATTCTTTTTCTTAATTTTGTTTTTCTCTACAGTTTTAATGTATGATATCTGTATAGTTTTTGTCTATAGGATAATAAAGAAAATACGTTCAGATAAAGAAAACAAGTATCGAAGGTGAGAAAAGAACAATTTTTTTGTTCAACGTTTTTTTATAAATGATACCTAATGAATAAAATAAATATTTCATTGAATTGAATCAATAAATGGATTATTTGACGTGTTTATAGAATAAAATGAAATATTATTTGAATTTTTTATATAAATCAATTAATTTGTTTTTAAGAGATTTTCGTCAAAGACTTTTCTCATTATCATATACAAATATTATATCTCACAACGATAAAATTATTTCATCATGATTTTATTCTTAAATTAGATAAATAGTAAATATATCAGTATAAGAGGATAATATATTATACACTAACGTTTGTCAAACAATAAATTAAAACAATAGAAACAATATGTTTTAGTAAGAAAATTTTCTTAACACGTAGAGCGTTTAAAGGAACGATTCTCTCGTTGAAAATGCAAAAAAGCGTCAATAACATTAAAAATAAACGAGAAATTGAAAATAAGGAAAAGTGTTTTTTGTTTTTTGTTTTTTGTTTTTTGTTGTTGTTGATTATTGATTGATTTGACTATTTATAAAACGACCCGATAAAAAGTGAATGTACAATCATAAACATTATTTTTAATAACTTTCATTAGTAAACTTAATTTTAAATGAATATTTTCTCATTTATATAATAAAGAGCAAGATCATTTCTGATTGTCAATTGAATGAAGATAACTTTGTTTTGAAGATGCTCTATTTCGATTTAAAAAATCTCTTTTTCTTAAAACTAACTCGACTTTTTATGGTAAACATCTCGATATAATTGATAAAATGTCTACTTTGAACAATGATTTAAATAATTTTCGATTTATTGAGGTTTGTTTTAAGTTTGTAAATGTATGTAGAGAGAAATGAGCGAGGTTAATTAAATGAAAAAAATTTTCAAGAAAGTTTCATTTGTGATTGTCGATGATAATCGTAGGTGTTGTTTGAAGATGATTCAATTTGAATAAAGATCAATTTGAAATTATTATATCGATAAAATCATTTTTGATGATATTCTTTTGATGTCTCAGTTAAATAACGAAAATAATATTGACGCTTTTTTTTTTTTTATCGAAAATTATTTAGTATATATTATCATTATAAAAGAAATCTTTTTCAATTCAATTCGTTATATTGGAGTAGGCTTCGTTTTTTTTTTACTTCACTAAATAGATAAATATTCTTTTGAATAAAAGAAACAAATTTAATATTTGTCTTCAATTCTCCTAACTTGAATGTTTAAGAGATAAAATAAATAAAAAAGTTTGTTACTCATTCAAAGGGTAAATCATTTCTATTTTAAATCATATTAGAATAAACTCTAGATGTTGATTTCTATTCAAATAAAATTTGTAGACGTTAAAGTTTTATTTAAGAGTTTGTCCGTTAAAAAATCTGGCAAAGGATCTTCGATGAAGGGAACATATCGATAAAGTTTCGTCGAAAGAGAATACAATAGAACAATAAGACATTTTTTTGATACGTCAACTGAAAATTGTAAAGATGAATATTTTCTTTGTTGTATAAATGACATAATGAACTTTTTTTATCAATAAAATTTGAATAATAACAATGATTAAATTTTACATTGAAAAAATATCTCGTCGAAAGATATATGTTCACTTTGTCAGTTCAGTTAATAGTCATTATCGAATTAATGTTATCGATTTGAAATAAATATTTGTTCATATGTTCATTTGACGAGAATTTGGAAAATATTTATTCTCTCTCTTCATTCGAATTATCATTAACAACGATAAGAAACTGAAATAAATAAATATTTAAAGATAAACATTTTTTTTTGAAAATCATTCATCAAGAAAAATATTTTCAAGAGAAATTCATTAGATTTTAATAAAACATGGATTTTTGTCAAAGGTTTATTAGATTAATCAAATTTAAATCATTTTATTATTCTCTATTATTTGAATGAAAATCATTTTTTCTCGATTAAATTTATTTTTATATGAAAAATGAAAAGTATAATGAGAAACAGAGATAAATCATTTTGATCAATAGTTTCATTCTTGTCGTTGGAAAATATTAATTCTTGCCATTTTATTATCTAATATATGAAAACAAAATCTTTTCTTTGATGTGTAAACATAGATTGAAAGATTTTTCATATAAAATAAATAAAATTTATCTTGAAAATCGATTGAAAAGTATCACTCGATCATTTCGGCCTGTCAATCTCTGTTTACATTCAAATAAATATCGTTTTATATCAAAGAGATCTTTTTATTCATTGTTTGAATCTTCTTTCGATTCTAAAGGATAATTTTATATTTAATTTGCCAATAAAAGTACATGTTCCTGATATTCTGTTCATGGAAGATTAATTAGAGACATTTTTTAGGACAAATGAAGATTTTCAATAAAATATATCATTAGGATAAATATCGAAATAAAATCCTCTTTAACGGAATAATCATGCAGAATGAAATATTCGTATAGAAGAATATTTATTTCAGTGAAAAATTTTCTCATTAAATAAAGATTATTAGAAATTGAAAATTGTACAAAGAATTTCATAGAAAAAATCGAACTTCAAAACACAAATTGATTTCGTCTAAGCGATAAACATTTAGATAATCAAATGAAACCAATTGTTTGTTTGTGTCTAGACAAAAAAATAATATGTTCATTTAAGGGCCCCCCCCCCTCAAAAAAATCAATTTTGGTCAAATTTATCGATTTTGTGATTTACAACTCATTAGATAGAGCAAAGTGTCTACTCTCGAATGCACTATAGTTGATTGATTTTATGATGAGCTTTAAGAATATTACATAAGTTTTTCTGAACCTCCATATTGGAAAAAAGAAGGCTNCCGTATCTTGTGATGTATTTTGTTTCTTAATACAACGTATTAAGTGATTGAAAACTGAAATGGAAAGCGTATTAATCTGTCTCACGCGTTAGTGAAGTTTTACACAAAAAACAGTTCTTATCGAAATTTCATTATTATGATACCAGCTGAATAGGGATGAAATAGCACAGAAAAATTGAGCTTCATTTTCTCTATCGTCTCATAAAAACAGAAAATTTCATCAAGCCTTCTATACGAAATTGAGATGCGACCGCCACTACTTTTGGGTACCCCTAAGTAATACAATTTCCTACTGCTTTACTGTTGTTTTGTGTATTAAAAGCTAAATATATACAATGTTTACCTAATCATAGAAGTGTTCTAAAACGTATCTTAATAACGCGATAGAAACTGAGGGTTTTGCTTTTGTTTTTATCAATCCTTAGAAACTATAAGAAATCATTTTTAATAAATAGAAATCGTTGGAAATCAAGAGAAATCATTAAAAATCAAGAGAATGAAGTTAGAAATCCGGAAATCAAGAAATCAAGAAATCAGTTTGTTCTCCCTTGACATTTACTCCATTTCAGATTATGTGTGATAGAGAAAACTTACTACCTATGAATCTGAAGCAAATAAAAGTATCCATTTTGAAGCCAAATCAATATTATGAAAAAGCAAGACGAGCTAGGAAAATTCTTATCTATCATGCGAAATTAAATATTCAACATCAATGTAAGTTAGAAAAAAATTAGATATGATCAAAACAGACCAGATCGAATATATCATATCGACGATTTAGTTTTGCAACGAATAATTAATAAAATATCAAAATTGCAAGAAAAATATGAAGGTCCGTATCGAATTATTGACCAAAAGGGGCCCTCAACCTTTAACGTAAAAATTGTAGATCAAGATAGTGATCATAATCCAAATTATACAAAACACGTGACAACATCTGATATGAAACCTGTATTTGTTCGTGAAAATCGTGAATAATATGAGTATTGCAACTTGGATCATGGCTTTTTGTCGGCATGGCTTTCTGCTTGGATTATACTCATCGTAATTATTCAACTTATTATTTTTTTGTATCAATGGACACGAACGAACATTGAATCGGAAACAAAAAATTACTTTTTCTTTTTCGTTCAAGCTGAGATTGTTGTTAAAATTGTCTCGGTTTGAATAATTTTTCTCTTTTTCGAGATCGGGACAATCTCTTGATCAAAACTGGGAGGTGTTACATAGTGATCCACTTCTTTTCTTTTTCTGTCCAACTGTTATACATATATTATTGTTCTTTTCTTTTTCTATTCAGCTGTTACACATGTTCTTTTTCGTCTGACCTATCTTTCCTAACCGACGTCTTTTGTGAATAAGAAAAATTATTGTCTTAATTCTTCTTATTGTTCATTGTCTAAACAGATGGGAAAGCTTCTTAACTTCTTCCCTGGCCTGTCTAATTATCTTTCTCCTATGTATATATACTTGCTGTTTTCTCGAATAAAGGGAGTCAAATGTTCGTTCATCCACGGTGTTATATATATGTAACTATATTGAACTGCATTCTGAGCACAAAACTTAACATTCAACTGAAGCAGATATAATGATGGACCATACCAATAGTGAGGCAACTAAAATGTGGGGTAGAACCAGGGTGACCAGATCTTCTGAAAAAAGAGGAAAATTTCTGAAATTTGAACCTGTTTCTGATTTTTCTGATTTTGATACATTCTTCTGATTTTTTATGAATCCAAAACTTTAAGATTCCAGTTTTGCTGATTAAATTACAACTACGTACGATTATAATCCATCACTATAATAAATGGATACTGTGACATCTTTTTTCTCTATTAATTATTGGTCGTTGGAGTTACACAGCCAGCTACAGTAGTACGCTAAAGTTCTAAAAAATTCTTGTTTTGACCCATTTTTATGGTCTTTTCTTATTAAAGTTTACACGAATAAACACTGAATTACGTAATGAATGACGTACATATGATTGAAGATGATGATGATGAAGTACAAATTGAAACAACATCGTCAACATCAATATCATCATCTCTAACAACGAAGAAAAAAACAAGGAGTTTTTCGTAAAGATTGGTTATCAATTGATCGATACTCGTTGTGGTCACAAGAAGTGAATCATGATTTAACAAAAGCTCGATATAAAGCTTGTCTTAAAACCTTTTCTGTTAATTGTGATGGAAAATCAGCAGTCAAAAAACATATGACTAGTAATGTACATAAAAAGTTGATGAAAACGTTCGAAAATAATTGTTCACTAACACAATTTATAACTTCAGAACGTGAATTAGATAAAATTGCAGCAACTGAATGTGTACTTGTTTTCCACGGAGTAAAACATGGAAATAGTTATCGATCTCAAGAATGTACAGTTGATTTAATTCGAAATGTATTTGAATCATCATCAGTAGCAAAATCAATGTCATGTGGTAGAACTAAAGCACGAGCAATTGCGTGCAATGTACTTGGTCCTTATTTTACAAATAAAGTTATCGATGATTTATTAAAAGCACAATATTATTCATTATCTGTTGATGCATCAAACAAAGGAAACTGCAAAATGTTTCCATTTGCAATTCAATATTTTTCTGAAATGGGTATTCGTCGAGGTAATGATTTTTTGGTTATTTGAAGCTTTATATTCTTGTGTTATATCTAAACAAGTTTCATTTTGATTATTTAGGATTGATCGAGTTTATCAATGATCCCCATGAATCTGCTATTGATATTTTTAAAAATATTTGTAAAATTATTGATGATAATAAATTACAAATTGGAAATTTAACTAGTTATGGTGGTGATAACATGAACGTTAACTTTGGTAAACATCATTCGGTTTTTCAATTATTAAAATCAAAAGTACCTCATCTACTAAAAGGTAAATATATACGTTTATTGGATATACATTTTTATTCGAACTCTACATTTTGTATCGTCATATGTAAGGTAATTATTATTGTCACATTCTTCACAATGCAGTGCAAACTGCACATGATGAATTACCAATTGATATTGAAATAACTTTATGTAAATTATATTCTTATTTCTCGAGATCAGCAAAACGAGTTGAAAGCTTGAAAGAGTATTTCGAATTTGTATAAACTGAATTCAATGTAAATTATTTGATTACGAAAAAAACTAGAAAAAAGTTAAACAAACTGTTTACAAAACTTTGAATATTTTCTGTTTTTAAGGTTTTATTGCAACATATAAGAACAAGATAGTTGAGTTTACTTCGATCTATTGAACGTTTACTTGAAAACTTCGAACCACTAAAATTGTTTTTTTTTTAAATCAACAAGTATCAACAGATGTACAACGACTTTTACAATCTTTTTTTAAGGATATACAAAATCTTTTGTATTTTATACTTTTTACAAAATGTTCTTTTTGAAATTCAAAAAGCTGAATTACAATTAAAGCGTTCATATACAACAGCAGTTGATCTTCATATTATTATTGCCAATTTACTGAACAAGCTACAACAGAAATTATTCGATAAATATTATGGCAATAATACACGTTTAATTTTAAATAAATTAAAAGAAACTGATGAAAAAAAAAAGTGAAATATTAGTAAAAACATTTGATTTATTTATTAATCAAGTGATCGAGTATATTAAATCTTATTATGATGATTATAGTGAATTTTATGAAAAATTATCATATTTTAGCGCTCAATCATTTAAATTTCTTACTTGGAAAAATATTATCGACGTTCTTAATATGATTGATATAGATGATTTAGATAAAGATAAATTATATAGTGAATTTTACGATATAAAATCTTTGTATTATAATTTGAAGACAAAAAATATTAAATTAAATGATCAAATAAAATCATATTTTTCCAGTAAAACAAATGAATTTCGTGCATCAAATTTTACAAATCAAAATTTTGTACATGATAATTCTGATTCGAATGATGAAGGAACTATTTCATTATCAAACAAGAAAGATGAAGACTTCATTAAATCTCATGAATTATGGGCGTATATCTTAAATACCAGTCCAAATGCAACACCAAATTTTAAAAAAATGATTTGTTATATTTTTTCCATTCCATGTTCAAATTCTTTTGTAGAATCTATTTTCAGCAATATGAAACACTGCTGGAACGATTATCGGAATCGTATGGATATTGAACTAATCAGTTCTGAACTTAAAATACGAATGAATAGTAATTATTATTGTAATCAATTCTATAAACGTATATTAACTGAAACACAATTGTTAAAACAAATTCGACAAAATGCAAAGTATTAATGTCGAAATGATACTACATAATCTTATTTGTTTTTCATTGCATTTCTTGATCTTCAACTACGCATTAGATACGTCGTGTTTTTTGTATGTTCTTGGAAGTTTTGCATTGAGTGAAATGGTTTGACGAGAAGTGTCTTGTCTTAGTTTTTTTATTACTTACAGGATGTATTCATTATATTGTTTTATTCTTGTAGTGACACACATTGAAAATAAAATATAAATCAATGAATGAAAAGTCAGTGGAGCGTTAGATGCCAACAGTCTAATATAATATCGATTAGTTCGCAAAAAATCACCCTTTCTGATAAATTTCTGATTTTTAAATTTTTGATCTGGTCATCCTGAGTAGAATCATCTTTTATGAAAAAACTGAAATGCTTCTGTGATTTCTCCATCGAACCTAATTTCAGTCAGAACTATTTTGGTGGAGGGAGGGGGGGGGGGGGCGCGGCTTTTTCCAGCAAGGGGAAATTCCGGGGAG